TTAGCAAGTACGGCATCGTTGGAATGTCCGGACGATGATGTAGCCTCGTTCACGAGAACCTTCTTGCGTACACTCTTTCTTTGCGAATTTTCGCTAAGCATCTCGTAGAGTGCGTAGATTTCCTCCTCCGTGTGACTCCCGATGTCTCCTCCGGCCGCATGGTCCACCATATATTGGAGTGTTTGGTGAAGACCATCGTAAAAGAATTGATTTAACACTCCGAGGCAAAAATGATGGTGCGGACATTGGAGTTGGTACCCCTTGAATCTTTCCCAAGCCTCATGAAAGGTTTCGCCGGGATTTTGGCTAAAGCTAGCGATCTGAGTACGGAGGTCGGTGGTCTTCTGTTGCGAATAATACTTCCCCATAAACTTTTCATAAACGGCTTCCCAATTGGAAAGCGAGTTCGGAAGCAAAGTCATGAACCAAGTCTTGGCTCGATCCTTCAACGTGTACGGAAAGCATCTCATCCGAAGTTGGTTTTCACTGAGACCTTGGAGAGGAAACGTGTTGACCGTGGAATAGAATTCTCGAATGAAGTTGAGGACGTCTTCTTGTGGAAGGCCATGGAATGAAGGTAGTTGGTTGAGGTGAATTGTCTTGAGGTCATAATTCCGTGCCGCCTCCCCGAGCACGAGACAGGAAGTATTATCTCCGATAATTGGCCGAGCAAAATACCTCATGTTCGGTGGAGGTGGTGGCATTTGTTCTCCTTGCTCCCCCATTGGTTTAGGTTCACTTTCGGGTTGCGGTTGTTCGATGTTGGGTTCAACGTAGAGATCGAGCGGTTGAGTCTCCTTTCGGGGTCTTCCTCTTCGTCTACCTTGCATAAACACAAACAACAACTATACCCGCGCACGGTATCAAGGGGAAACAAAATAAAACGCAATCACAAATACAATCTATCTACAAAAACAAAAGAAACCAAGAGAAATACGGAAATTAATCAAAGTTCACAAAAACAAAGAGAAACACAAGAAAATGGGACAATTAAATAACAAACTAAGCGTCCTATTTGCCTTCCCCGGCAACGGCGCCATTTTGTTTGCAGTATTTTTGTGGGTATATTGTAACCGAGTTACCCGACTCGGGTCGTTCTCAAAGGAAGACTGTTCGGAGCTTCGTTTACTAATTTAATTGTCCAAACACACAAGTGAAAAATAATTCCTAAACATTCTAATCGATGATTTGATTGGTTTAATTGTTGATTAACTAACGAAATAAATAATACGAAACAAATTGAAATATAGCGATTTAGACCCTTTAGCTTTCGAACCGAATAACTAAAGATTACGAAAACGATACACAACCATAGAATCGAAATCCATCTACGGACCTCAAATTGCAATCAACCTGTCTCAACGGAATAATCGAACTTAAATCTAAGTCTCAATCTTCCTACGACAATCTCGACTGAATAATCTTGTAACTTAATGAACAAAATCGAAAATAACGACGATATGATATTAAATACGCTACTACAGAATAATCAATCCTCGAACTTAAATCATGATTTTCCTAACAACGCATTCAACAATCACAACACAATATTCGACAAATTCAAACAAACAACACAAACAAAATATTTCAATAGTCGAAAATCAAAGTTTACGTCTACAATCAAAATCGCAAACTCAGCACACAACCGGAATAATAAGTCCTCTAACAAGGTACTTATTTTTCCTAATGCAAATTCAAGCTAAAGAACAAAGAAAAATAGAAACTTACAATCCAAACGATTTCCGGAAAATGTCGTCGGAAAAGCACACAAACACACCGAAAATAAAATGAAGCTTCCAAATCAATCCACAATACAAATTCTTGAGAATGAAGAAAATGGAAAGATGAGTTTACTGCCGAGAGAAACACGAAATAGAAAGGAATGAGAGAAAGATGAGAGAGAGGTGAGCTGCAGCGGGAGAATGAGAAGAGAACACCGCAGAAAATGGAAAAACTCCCTCCGTAACTCTTGTGAATAACCCTTTATTAAATACACCAGAAGACAAGACCAAAAGGAAAAAGAGACATCCAGCTAACCGTCCACCATGTTTCCTTATTTTCTGCTCGACACTTCTTACGTGGAATCGCACGCAGATTGGTGGCACGTCGTGAGGAACAGCTGGCCGCGGCGTGAAGATGTCGGCTCCGGCGTGAAGAGGCGATGGTTAACGGCGTGGATGGACGACCTTCGCGGCGTGGAGAGGTGATGGTTAACGGCGTGGAGGGACGACCTTCGCGGCGTGGAGAGGCGATGGTTAACGGCGTGGAGAGAGCTTCGCGGCGTGAAGAGGTGAGCTCCGCGGCGTGAGGGTTTGCAGCGGCGTGAGGGTGATCTTCGCCAATTCCTGAAGCTGCGCGTGATCATCCTCACGACGTTAAGAGCTCGTGAAGGTCACTGGAAATGAGATTTTCATGCACCTCTTTTTCATCTTTAATTCGTACGCCTATTGCTATAACTCCGAAGCTAGTTTCGATTTTTTTCTTGCGTACCAACACAATTATCTATCCATCCATTAATCACCGGCTCAAATATGATTTAAAAGATTCGTCGCCTGACTCCTTCACCTACACACCGACGATAATACAGATAATAGGAGCAAATTACCGGAAAATACATATATGACTCGACTAATAATAACTCGCAAAACACATATTAAAAATAAAAGAATCAAAATAAAATGGGGGAAAAAGAACGACAAAACAATAAGAAAAATCGTACAAAAATGGGACAAACATATACAGAAGTTATTCATTTTTGGAATACATTAACAACTTAATAGTTATAATAGAATTTGATATTATAATGCACTTAATACATCTAAAACGACCATAAATAATCAATATATTTATAGATTATTTGAACCTAATTGTTGTTGGATTGGAAGTAAATTAAAATCTATCCAAATCAAATAATAAAGCATGAAATTTTGCTACATAAAATTACGAAACATGCCAACCTGCCACATAAGCTCAGGCTACTCAACACATTTTGAAATTATATATAAGGGGATAATGTGTGTTGTATGTAACAATTATGATAAATTGTATATCAATTAAACTATGTGAACGATATCCATCTACTTTTTTAAAATTAATTATTATGAATAAAAAAAATTCAAAATCAAAGTATCCAATCACCCATTTATCATTCCATGCAAAGAGTCAAATTGAATTTGAGTTTTGCAAAATGAACGACACAAACCCTTTAAACTGTGCCTTTCATCATTAGTGGCCTTTGACAAGTTGCAAAATATAGCAAGAATTTTTCAAACTCGCCATGATTTTTATGTCTGATTTTCTTGATGGACGTTAACATCGTAAGACAGAGACCGTATATAAACTGGGTCCATTTTAGAGGGGCAAAAAGATACTGAAGTAAATAATTAGGAACCAAAATATGAATTTATAAGACAATTTAGTTTTATAAGACAATTTAGTTTTATAACGATTTAATGGTTCTATTTTCCCTAAATGAAGGATTTAGGGAACAGTCCCAAAACCATTTTAGGAAATCAATCTAAAGTTAAAAGTGACGTAATTGGGGGAAAATGTAGGGTTCCTAGAAAACTGTTCACCAATCACTTGTAAAGTTGTTTAAATTAATTCTAAAGTTGGAAATGTAGCAAGGTTGAGCTTTTGTAGCTAAAAAAATGTTAAATCTAAAGTTCAAATGTAATAAGGTTCAATTTTTGTAGCTAAAAAAAATGTTAAAGCCAAAGTTGAAATGTAATAAGGTTCAATTTTTGTAGCTCAAAAATGTTAAATCGAAGCAGCGCAAGTTGCACTGAGTTTTTCATGCCAACTATGATTTACAACACTTCGTGATGGGTAACGAAAAGCTCTCAACTTAGTTTTGGTCGTTTTATAAANAAATTAAACAGTCCTTATCTATCTATTTTCTTTATTTCTCTTCCTTTTGTCTTCCACGTTTCTTCTCTTCTTCGAAACAAACAATTATATATAATTGTTTTTCATATATGATATGGCACATAATAACAAATTGGTAAACCGGGAGGAATTGGCTCGGCTTAGCAAATCGGAGTTTGTAATACTGCAGCAGTTACGAGGAACGGTTTATAAGGGACACGCGTAGCGTCAGGATCAAATTAGTGGAATAAACGATCCAACGGAGGACGAACAAAGCGTGTTGGGAAAGCTAATAACTTCATATAAATAGGTAAACAATTGGAGGATGTAAGGTTAAACATTCTACAAACCCTAAATTCTACACACAGCTTTCCTCTACCTTCTTCTACCTTCTACTGACTTGAGCGTCGGAGGTTTACCGCCGAACGGAACGGTCGAGGATTGGAGGGAAGCCGGTTCAAGTGCAAGAACACATCAATATATATAATCAAACAATTAAAAAAAATAACAAAAGATATAATTAAAAGAATTAATAATATAATTTATAAAAACTAAGAAACAAGATACTGATGTAATATAATATTCTCAGAGCATGTTTGTTTATGAATTTTTTTTGTTTTGTTTGAAATTTTTGGTTTGGTTTGGTTAATTTTGAAAAAAGTGGTATGGTTAGTTGTTAGTGGATATATTAAAATAATATTTAAAATAAAATAATTAAAATTGATTTGATGTAAAAGTAGGAGAGAGATGATTGAAGTGATGGTTAGTTAAAATAATGTGAATGGATGAATAGTGAATTAAGGTTGATGTGGTGCGTATGAATGATTGATTGATATTATTTAATTATATATTTTTTTTTATCATTAATATTGATGATAGTGAGATTGAGTTAAAATTGAATTAAAAAAAATGGTTGAGTTAAAATGTTGAAATTTTTTTAAAAAAAATTCATGAACAAACATGCTATGAGTTTCTAACAACAAAACAACAATATAATATGTCAAGCTACATAGAAAACAAAACAAAATTGAAACTTTTGGCCCAACATTAGATAAAGCAACCCTAAAACTACAGCCCAATATTTATCTGGGCCTTTTCGTTACAAATCCAGGAAAATCACACAAATAATACCAATGCGAAACCTCCGCAAAACCCCCTTTTCGCAGTCTAGGGTTTCTGATTTTCTCCATAGAAGCAAAATCAGAACCTCTGATTTCAATTTTCGCTCACACGGTAAAGAGTAATGGGAGGAAAGTGCCCTCACCGGAGCGTGAGAAAGCGCCGATACTCGCACAAAACCGCGAGGCGCACCAAATTTCTTCTCAAAGATATCCTTTTTTACTGCGTGTTTATGGATATAGATATATCTTTGTGTTTTTGTTGCTGATTAATTGTTCCAATCAAGCTTGTTTTTCTTGACTTGTGATTGTTCACGGGACGACGCCGTTTATGACGAGCTTCAGAAAGTGGAGGGAAAGGATAAACCCCTGCCCGTAGATGAAGACCTTCCTGGGATGGGACAGTACTATTGCTTGCACTGCGAGTAATTTACAAGTTCATAGTTTTCTTGATTAATTTTTGTTTTTAGCATTGATTTTTGTTGGGAAATGGAAATTTTGGTGTTCCCCTTTTCTTTTTAGCTCACATGGGATTTTTTTTTTGGTTCCGTATTGCAGTCGATATTTTGCAAACACGACGGTGAGGGATGAACATTTCAAGACCAAACGGCACAAGAAGCGGTAATTTACTTGTATACTACATCTTTTTCAATTTCAATTGTTTTACCTAATTTGCTAAAATTGTAGGCTGGCCCTGTTTTTATTTTCTATTGGTTTTGTTGAGTATTTTAGTAGTTTTGGGGAAATTAAGTTGTAGCTTCAACTTTTAAGCACTAAGGTTGGTGATTTATTCTAGTTCAAGGGCTATTAAGGGAAAAGCATATTGAAGCATTCAAGTTTTACTGTAGATTCATTTTTGCATGAACTTCACTTGTTGGGAAATTGGAGAACACTTTTAGTTGCTGCAGTGATTTAGTGAAAANTGCATAAACTTATGCGAGAATTTGAGTGGAATTCTGGGTTTCTTTTAATTGAAGTAAATCTATTCAAACTCATCTTTCACAAACAGATGATAATATGCCATGCGAGAGTTAAGTGGAGGTATGGATTTCTTTCATTTGGAGTAAATCAATTCAAATACATTTCTCACAATCAAATGACAATATACATGTATGCATGTTCTCTAAGTCATCTGAGTTAGATGATGTTTATGATCCAATAATTCTGAATTTACTTCGGACATAGGAAATAAACTGCACTGAAACAGTTGAGACCAAAAGTTTGTTTTACATTATTCATGTTCTTGAAGGACTTTACTTCAAGTTCTAACCTTTTCAGTTAGAGAGTGCTGATATTAATTTTCGTACACAGTTTGAAGCTAATGATGGGTCCTGCTCCACACACCCAATTAGATGCCGATCTTGCTGCTGGGATGGGTATGCCAGATAATGGTCCAAAGTTGATGTCCATGTAAAGTTTTTTCATGATTTCCTGCGATTTTGGCTTACGGGCAGAAATTTTCGAGAAGTGACTACAAACTATTTTTGAGTTGATTTCGTATGACCGAGGTTTAGTTGTGGCTACTGGCTAGACAGCCTTTACTGATCTCATATGATATTTTTACTAGGTGTGACTATATTTTGTTCAGTTGTTTCTGTTACATGAGAAATAAATTGTCAAACTGATTGTGATTTTGTTTTTGTTGTATCACATAATATTTTTGATTGTGAGATGCATTTTGATTGTGTGTGAAATCCAAAAATAGTATGTTTGTTTTGTTTGGATATGAGGATTGTTCAATCAGCTGGCATTAGTTTGTTTGAGCAGTGATGAGACATTGATTTATAGATCTGATCTTTTGTTCCATTTACATATTTCGTCTCGTGTTTCATCGTGAATGTCATGTGATGTGTACAAACATGACATCATGTACACGTCATTCATTATATTGAATGAAGCACCAAATAGAATACAAAATTGGAATAGGAAATCTTAGGATTGTCAACTTTTGTAAGAAAATGGAATCGGACTTTAGGATAGGGTAGATCTGTTAAATTATTAAATTAAACGAGCTGCTCGTGAGCTCGGCTCAGCAAACGAGCTAAGCTTGAACTCTTTTAAATCTCGTTCAGTTAACGAGATGAGCCGGTTCGTTAAGGCTCGAGTTCGACTCGTAAACATTGATAAACGAGCATACGTTGGGTTGGGCTCGAGGACGGCTCGTTCACACCCCTAGGATAGGATTGGCCCATTGGGTAAAGAGGAAAACTGCAGAATATATTGGGCTGGGCTTATGTTTACCTAACTTGATCCTTGTTTTTCTTGGCGGTGGGTTGGCTTTGGGTCATTTGGTTACGACCATAAGATTGATTCTTATTCTGTAGCCAGTATTGGATTCTTTTTACCCGCTGCATTTATTGTTTGAAGACTTTAGGAAATTTAATTCTTAAAACTCGGTAGAATTGTTTTTGAACACTGTTTTATGAACAAAATGTTGAGCTGTCAGAATGGTAATACACCAAGCATTATGGAGAGAGAGAGAGAAAAGATCTTATAAATGGGTTATTGTTGCAAATGAAACTGAACTGAGTTGAGTCGATGATTAACCTTATCGAGTATGAGTCGAGGGTTAACTTTATCGAGTATGGCCCAATTTTTGGGCTGTTGCTTGAGCTCGAGGTCGATTAGCTCGAATCAACAAAAAAATGCAAATGCTTGTAATCGGTGCAAATTTGATGTACTTGAGTTCAACTAGAAATTCAATAAATAAACATGTAGTTAATTAAGGGTATTAAGGTAGTTTTATCTATATTTGAGTGACTTGTCGAGCACATCAACCTCGAGAACTGTAAACTCGAGTATAAATTCGAGGTGTTTAATCTTGACTCGAGCCCAACTCGAGCATTGACTGAAGCTCTTATGAGTAGCTCGATTCGTTTGCCGCATAAACATAATTTATATATTAAAGAAAACTAAAACCATGGACCCTACCCATCCATGCACCAGACACAAAAATGCTCAGACATCAATCATACAGAGGCATCACGCTTTTGTCATCTTTCCCAATTTTCAATAATCCGAGTCCATTGTTCTTTTATCATGCGCGTGCACTCTCATTACTTATTACAACACTTCCATAATGAGCTCTTATAGTTACAACGTCCCCTTTTTTTTGTCTTTGTTTCAAGCATGCCAAACTTTTCCTTTCATAGTTGTGTCTTCATCACGTGAAAGCTGGCCAAATAATGGTGTTCACCTTCCTCGTTATGTTGTTGTCAATCAGTCATTATCCAAGATGCTTGGACACAATCCTATTCACAAAGGGTCCTCTTAGTTTTTTCATTTTGTTGGAACATGAAGAGCATTAATTACCAAGTTATGGTAATTTGAAGTTCATAACTTTGTATATTTCATGTAATATTACAAAAGCACATAAACAGCCATAAACAACTACATTAGTGTGAGTTATGTAAAGTTGATTGCAATGAGATAGTTGTATAATGTTGATCAATATTTTTTACCATCTTGCATCTCCATTTAATGACAAACACTAATGCTCCAACAATGTCGAGATTTCTGAGGTATGACAAACTATACTATACCAAAATCTATAAACAAAAGCCACAAAAAAGAAATAAAAAAATAAAAAAAAAATCCTCCAATCTCGAAATATTCGCATTCCGTTTTTTCGAACCTCATCACGAGCCCACGTTCGACGAACCCGAACCCGACCCATGCTCGTGCGGACTGACCCTCTGCAGCTGTATCATCCGCGCGTATATCCCATCCGGAAAGTTCTTCATCAAATGCCCGTGTGACCCTTGCTCCGCGACTTTCCCCTCGTCCAACACAGCAATCACGTGCGCGTTCCTAACAGTCGACAGCCTGTGCGCCACCACGATAGTCGTCCTTCCCGCGCCCGCCTTCTCGAGCGCCTCCATCACGCACCTCTCTGACTCGGCATCGAGCGCGCTCGTCGCCTCGTCGAGCATCAAAATCTCCGCACTCTTCAAAAATGCCCGCGCGAGCGCGATCCTCTGCTTCTGCCCTCCCGACAGTTGTACCCCACGCTCCCCGACGTACGTCTTGTACCCGTCGGGCAATGACGACACAAAATCGTGCGCGTTCGCCAGCTTGGCGGCCTCGATTATCTCCGCCTCCGATGATGAATCCCGACCGTAGGCTATGTTTTCGTATATTGTGGTTGAAAATAGACACGGCTCTTGTGGGACCACCGCCAAGTGGCGCCTCAAGGATCGGAGATTGTACTTCCGAACGTCCTTCCCGTCGATCGTCACCCGTCCGGACGACGGCTCGTAGAATCTTTGTATGAGGGAGATAACCGAGCTTTTTCCGCAACCGCTCGGGCCCACGAGGGCGAGGGTTTTACCCGCGCGGGCTCGGAGGGTGAGGTCTCGGAGGACGGGGAAATCGGGCCGGGCCGGGTACGCGAAGTCAACGTGCCTGAGCTCGACCTCGCCCCGGATGCGGTCGGGGGCGGGGCCCGCGGACGGGTCGTCGGGCTCGATCTCGGTTTTGCGGTCGAGGAGGGCGAAGACGGAACGCATGGCTCGGCCGCCCTTGATGAAGTCGGGGGCGAGGGTGAGAGTCTCGGCGGCGCCGTTGGCAGAGACCATGAGGACCATGAAGACGCGGATGGCTCGGGAGAAGTCGGAGAGGCCGTGGCGGACGAGCCACGAGGCGTACCAGAGGCCGAGGGCATAGGAAGCGTAGAGGGCGAATTGGGCCAGCCCGTAACCGCTGCCCGCGATCTGGCCCATCCAGAACGAGCGGCGAAGTGGGGGCCGAAGGCTCGAGGCGAAGAGGGACGCGATCTTGGGCTCCGAGTTGAAGGCGGCAACCGTGCGGAGGTTGGAGACGGCCTCGCCGGCAAGCTGGGTCGACTTCGCGTGGGCGGCCTCGAGGTCGCCGGAGAATCCATTCATGAACATTTTCTGTTTTCATGTGTAATAATAATTAGTGAGTGTTTTAAGGTGAGTGTTTTTTTTTGCAAGAATTTAACAAAAGAATAAATTGCATTTTTAGTCCAGTTTAACAATTTTAGTCCCAAATTCTAACATTTCGCCTTTTAGCCATTTGATTTAATATTTTGTTGCAATTACAGTCTTTGAGGACTGCAATTGCAACAAATTCCCAAATTTATAGATTTTTATTAGCAATTTAAGTACTATAATTTAAATTTTTGTTGCAATTTCAGTCTGTAATTTAAAATTTTGTTCCAATTTCAGTCGTCAAATCATAGGACCGAAAGACGAAAAGTTGGTACCTTGAGACTAAAATTGTTATGGCATTAAACCAACAACATTAAAAAAAATATTTTGCCTACTAATATTTAGTGAGTGTTTTTTGCAATAATTTAACAAAATACCTGCAAGACGGTGGCCGCAACCACGACCGGGAAGACTCCGATGAGCACGAGCGCAAGCCGCCACTGCAGCACGAACCCGGCCGTGCAGGCAACAATCATAAGCGCCGAGTTCTGCATGATAACCGATATCCTATCCCCAATAGCCGACCGAACATTATTCGCATCGAGCGCCAGCCTGGCGGCAACCCTCGAGCTCTCGTTCTCCTCCGAGTCGAACCATGCCATCTCATTCCTCATCACGGCCTCCAACATCTTCTCCCGAACCCGCCTCGTCAGATTCTCCCCAACCGTGTCCCAAAAATAATGCTGCAGCGTGTTGAAAACGAGCGCGGCCGACGAGACGCCTATCAACAAATAGCAATACTTCGCGATTTGTTCGATCATGTACGCGTGGCTCGGGTTATAATAAACGCTAAGAACGGCACTTAGGACATAAGCGAAGAACGCGCTTAGGGAGCCGCAAACGATCGACCCAACCGAGCCGAGAAGCGCATGGGCCCACTCAGGGGAGTTCATTTTGGCGAGGCGCAAGAACGAGCTGGCTTGCTCTTTGAACGCGAGCTTCTTCTCGAGTCGGTAGCTCGGGTACCCCCCTTCGAACGAGAGGCTAAAATCGGAAGTTGAAAAATCGGAGAGCCTTCTCGAGTATGGGGACCGGCCATAGGACGAGTTTCGGGTGATTATTGGCGAGCTCACCGAGTTTCTCGCGCTCGACTGCCTGCGAAAGAGAAAGTCGAAAGATTTATTTATTTATTTGCATTTTTCGTAAAAAAATAATGGTAATATATATTTATACATACCTTGCACTGCTTCTTCTAGCATTGTTGACTGCAGCTTCATGAGCAGCTTCCTGCATTCGAATAAGCTTACTGTAAACACTGTTTTCTCCTCGGGCGATGAGTTCTTCGTGAGTCCCGATTTCGGAGACACTGCCTTGCTGCAAGATGGCCACGAGATCGGCTTTTCGGATTGTGGAGAGACGGTGGGCGATCACTAATGTGGTCCTCCCGATCATGAATCGGTCGAGAGCCTCTTGGACGAGCTTTTCTGATTCGGAATCCAATGCGCTCGTGGCCTCGTCTAATAGAAGGATTGCCGGGTTCTTGAGCATTGCTCGCGCGATGGCTATTCTCTGCTTTTGCCCGCCCGACAGCTGGAGACCTCGCTCGCCAACCTGTCATTTTCCAGATTAAATGTATATTTTTTTTTTACATATATTTTTGAAAATTAATATTATAAAAATTACTATATTATCTTGTATTTTAAACTTATGGTGGTCCATTCTCCCATAGATTGAGAGAGTTTTCTTGTTTCTACACTTACCAACCCAACACTTGGCACATGCATTGTTCACTACAAACCATGTTACATTTATATTTAAATGCATGAACAGAAGAAAATTTCCTTACATTTGACTTTCTACAGAAAAAAAAAATGTTAGAAATAGTTATGTTGACCAGATAACCCCCATTCAAACCCTTGGGCCAATAAAATTAATGAACATTTGACCAGTAACTTCGTCCTAATTGTTAAAAAGTGTAAAAAGATTAAGATAATCCTCTTGTTGTTAATGTATCAGTTTTAACTGCACAATGTTCATGCAAAAATGTGTTGTACCATTAATATAAGCCAGCCAGCTATAGCTAACCTGAGTGTCATAGCCATCTGAAAGCTTGACAATGAATGAATGTGCATTAGCTACTCGAGCGGCCTCTTCGATTTCGACCAAACTCGAATCCGGCCTTCCCAAGAGTATGTTCTCTTTAATGGTCGTGGCGAATAATGCGGGCTCTTGGCTAACAAGCCCGATTTGCTGCCTCAACCACCTCAACTTTAATGTCTTTATGTCATGACCATCTAGCAGTACTTGGCCTGTCAAAGTTATTAACATTTGGATTTCATAATCAAGAAAATTAATATCCAATATGAAATATAAAAATGTTAAAGGACCAATTAATCACCTGAAGTGGGATCGTAAAATCTCTCGATGAGGGATACAACCGTACTTTTCCCTGAGCCGCTACTTCCGACAAGAGCTATCGTCTTGCCAGCCGGGACAGTGAGAGAAAAATCGTTCAATATTCGAGTCTCGGGCCTCGAGGGGTAGCAAAAGTCCACATTTTTAAGTGCTAATTGTCCGTTTAAAGACTCCAACTCCAAACCCGACTCGTTATTTCTCTCGACACTCGGCTTGTGATCGATAACTCGATAAATTTTAGCAGCTGCCACTCGTGCCTTTGCGAATGCGGCCATACTCGGAGCAGATTGCCCAAGTGAACTATTCATGCATCCAAACAAGATTAACATTATTTAAAGGCCAAGATTATTAACATTAATTAATTATCCATAATCCATATATGTACTTACAGCCCGCCGATCATGACTGCAAACATTGTAGCTATTGCAAGGCCGCCATTCGTGTAATTATGTCGAACTAAGTACCCACCATACCAGAGAAGAAGCGCGTAACAGCAAAAAACCGTAAAATAGGTGGCTCCAAGCCCCAAACCTTTGGCAAATCCAATTTTGTACCCAATTTTTTGGGCAATTTTCAGGGCTGAAGAGTAGGACTGCAGTGCCCTCGACTCCCCCACGAATGCTAAAACCGTTCGAATTTGGGCTATTGTCTGTGTAATTCAATATCGAATTCAAGATTCATCAAGAAAGAAATTATAAACTAAAGATCATTATGTTTTGTATAGGAGAAATTAATTAAACACTTTTTTTTCTCACTTGTTCTGCAATATTTCCTGCTTGTGAAAGAGCTTCTTGGCTTTTGCTCGAAAGCTTGGCTAATGTGACCGTGTGAATGCCGCCGATTACGGCTATTAACGGAACCACAGCAAGAGTTACTAAGGACAATTGCCAAACTGCAGTAAAACCCACCACAAATCCAGATACACATGTTGCCATGTAGTGCAAGAAATTTCCCAACTAAAGAAAACAAGAAAAGGGCTCAATCAAGAATCAAACAATAGCAAAAAACTCAATTTCGATTCAAAACTACACTCCAATCAAGTAAAATTCCAATTTGGTTTTTTTTTTCAACCTTTCTTATTTAATCCTTTACCTTTTCACTAATTGCATCCTGGACCATAATAGCATCAGTGTTGATGGCAAAAACCACATCAGATGTTCTGACCTCTGTGTCGAAGTATTGAATGTCTTGGTTTAAGGCAGCTTCTAAATACTTAATCCTCATTTTCGTCGATTGTCGCTCTCCGGTCCACATCCAGCACGATATCTCTGCACCCAATTCAAATCAAAAGTCTTTGCTTGAAAAAAAAACCCCAACAAAATCAAAGAAAAAAAAAATCAAGAATCCAAATAAAGATCAAATTTTTATTCTACCTGCCCATGAAGATGCCCATATCGCAGCTCCCACGACCAGAAAGTACATTGCGTACTACAAAAACAATAACATTGGCAAATCAAATCCAACGCATCCTTAATTTTTTCTTTTTTTTAACAGAAAATTAAGAAAGAAAACATACCTTCATAACTTGTTGCGACATTTTATCGACATTGTCCGCGTTGGACCCGAACGAATTTACAAGATCGGCGAAAAACCTAAGGAACAGGGGCAGAGAGCTGCCGTGGACCACCGCGCCGGCCGTGCCGACCGCCATCAGCAGGTAATCCATCCCGTCCGCGAACCGGAAGAGCTCGCCGAACCCCACCGCCGAGACGGGCTTCTCCTTTCCGCCGCCGCCGTCTTTTCCATCAGCTCTGGAGGTCTCCATCGCCGCCGGAGCTGCTTCAGTGCCGCCGTGAAAGTGGGCTTTACCGGCCGTTTGAGCTGACGCGACAAGCTCGAGGCTTTGAGCTTCAGACCATCTCCACTGCTCCGTCGTGGACTTTATATCCTCACAATCTTGTTCAGCCATTTTATTTTATTCCAAAAAATATTCAACCCACCATTTTTTTTTTCTCGATTATAATACAGTAAATGGAAAGCCCATTGTCTCTTTCACTTTGTTTTTTTTTTTTTTGTTTTTTTTTTTTT